AGCTCAAGAGAGTACATGGTTGATACAGTTGATGAATAATCTACATCAACTAGTAGATTATGCAATTCCGTTGTATTGTGACAACCAATCGGCAATTCGGCTGGCGGAGAATCCTGTCTTTCATGCAAGAACTAAACATGTGGAAGTACATTACCACTTTGTTAGGGAAAAAGTTTTGCAAGAAGAGATTGAGATGAGGCAAATCAAGACAGATGAGCAAATTGCTGACTTGTTTACAAAAAGCTTGAGTGTTGGAAAGTTTGAACATTTCCGTCGTCAGCATGGCGTGATTCAAAGAATGGAGGCTAACATTGAGGGGGAGTGTTGAAAATTCAATATTAGCCTATATGTTCACACCTAAATTAATTTAATGTCATTGCTTACATCAATTTAGTTTTGAAGTCATTGCTTACATCAATTTAGTTAGGTGAAAATTAAGTATTTTTCTATGTTTTAATTTCAATGGTTTAGATTATTTAGTGTTTATTTTAATGAGTGGTTTAGATTGTTTCTTGTAACCTATAAATACCCTACTTGTATTTGAGTTTTATCATCCAACAATCAAAGCTTAATTATAAGCATTTGAAAGCTTTCTTAAGAGTTCTTCCTTTTTGTAATTTTGTGAGATTATTCTAAAGAGAGTTTTTTTTTTGGATCAATTAGAGTTTTTACTCTATTTTTGATTCAACACTCCATCCTGCCATAAAAAATTCTACCCTTGTAAAAAAGACTGCAACATGGAGCATGTCCCTGGAAAATAATCCGACCCGACTCAGACTCGAGCACATCATGGCTACCGGAACCGAAAAGAGTAAGAAATGTACTTGAAACAAATGGACAAAATGAAAGTACAGGCCGGTGCAAGGTTGATCATGGCAGCAACAAAATTTGCAGATGTATACACCAAGCTCTGCAGGTAAAAGTTTTGACCTAGTGAGCCACTGTTTCAAAAAAAAACTTCAATTTATTCCTTTTTTCTGCTATTTTTCAACATAGAAAAGTGAAATAATTCATGGGATTTCCCCTTTTTCTTTAAAATCATCCGAATAATCCACAAAGAAATTATTGAAGCACTATCTTTCGATTGATTTTCTCCAAGCACTTCCCGTGAAAAAAAGAACAGAAAACTCAAAGATGACAATAACAGATAAAAAAGGAAAATAATACATTCGATTCAACTCGAACCTTTCGAAGATTAAAGCAAGGGGAACCATGAGAGCAGATGCGATTGCGAACATGAATCTATAAACCACAATAAGCCGCAAACTCATCCCATCATTAGCAGCCGGTTTATACATTACATTGATTCCTGCAAATATAAGCTGAATCACCATCATTAACAATGGCGGCTTTAAACGATGAACAAGATTTGCAATACGTCCCATGCTGTTAAACCCCACAATTTTTTAAAGGAAAAAACAAAAAAAAATTGCTTTCCTGCTCCTAACCCCAAGATAAAATAACAGAGAAGATTGTTATTTAATTATTCAGATATATTTTTGTGAAATAAAAAAAAAAGATGAATTTTCTCTAACTTCCCAGAATTATATACATAGAACAAGTCTTGGGCGTAGGGTCGGTTGTGAAATGAACTTACTTGAACTGAATTTGAACAGAATTGAGAGAGCCGCTTTTATTTCATTTATACGTGCTCTGTCTAGATTCTTCATGCAAAAATAATATAATGTTTTATTATATAATATAGTATTGAATCCTAAATTCTAATATAGTTATAAAAATATTTAGCTTAAATTCTAGACCTAATAATTATCAAATAATTCTTTATAAGCTTTATTAATTAATCATGTTTTTATTATAAATAAATAAAAGGTATTTGTCTTGAATTATTAAGTTGTTTAAGATTTAATTCTATTCTTTGGAGGAAAAATATCTATTATATATATTTATTTAAATAATACTTAAACAATTTTATTTCATAAAATAATACATTTTTGTAAAGGTACAACATGTATGAAACGTTTTTCTAAAAGTGCGGCTTGTAGACCAAAAATCATTTCATCTAATAAGATGAGGTACTAGATACCTTAAGTAAAGTTAGGGGTTTAAATTTTAACGATTGTGAATAGAGTAAATTAGCTTAAGAGTGTTGCTCTTGCCTCTGTAGTATCCAATCTAAATTAGTTGATCAATAAATCAAATACCGATAGTTATAAAAAAAATCACGGCTTGTAGAGTGTCTCTACAAAGGTGACATCCGGTAAAATCTCTAAGTTGGTGTCATCTAAAACCAAAATAAATAAAAAAGTCGAATCTCACATCGTTTATATATAGATTTTTTCCGAATGTTTAAATACTACCCTCTAAATATGCACTCATTAATGATTGAAGACAATGTCATTGAAAATGGTCGATAATGTTTGAAACTATTGCACACAACAGCAGTTGCAAGAAGGAAAAAATGCAGAACCAACTTTGACGGATATACATATCGAGGGATATAAAGAAAGAGATCCAGATCCCGAGCTCGAATCGATATTGCTTAAACGCTTTCGAGATCCACTTTCTCCTTAAGTTGCATTGCTATGCATTCGTTTCCATGTTTCAGACACTTGTTTCTCAGCCTCATCTTGTCCAGCTTCAATTCCTGCTTCCAGCTTAGACGCTTCCACTTCAACTGCTTCTTCTCTAAGTTGAGAACCTTGGACTTCAGCTGCAACTTTTGCTTCTCTAGCTGATTCGCTCGACGTGCCATCGACTCCTGTGATCCATCTGCTTCATTGTCTTCATGGCGGGTAAGATTCCGATGGGGAGAATCCGAAATTTGGTTGAAGTCCGACACTTCCGAATATTTACCATGATCTGGAACTTCGTTTTCATTTGTTTGCTTCAACCACATTGCAGAGACTGCAGAAAAATCATAATTTTCCCTGTTGTACCCGGCTGTATCACCTTGAGCATTTAAACTTTGGTTAGAATCGAATGGCTTTGAAGTATTTGCAAAACCTGTGATATCATTTTCGTTAATCAGGTCCAACCACTTCACCGAGAACTCCGGGAGCACAGAAGTTGTTCCATTATCCTTAGCTATATCAACTTCAGCAAGAGCTTCAGCTTTTTGATCAGTACCATCAAGCACAGGTTGGCTCGAATCAAGAAGCTTGGAATCATCTTCGTTCTTCAGAATAATCAGAAAAGACCGCAGCAAATCTGGATCATGAGGTAGATACAATCGGTTTCCATTATGATACGAGCACATCTCTTCGAAAAACAAATGTTTCGAAGTCAAAAGTTTTCTTACATCTTCTTTCGTCCTCTCAGATACATCGATTATGTCCAAAAGCTTAGGGTTCTCAACAACCTTACAAGAAGTACCTTTCCCCAGTAAATCATTCAGTCTCCTATATGTTTTGTTCAAATTATTGAACTTGTCCTCGCATTGTTGAGGAGAAACGTGGTAACCCCGACCAGCCATGAACTTCGAAACACACTTCCATTTTCCTTGTTTCCTTAAAAGAGAAGACATTTTTATCTGAATACCCGCACAATCGGTGGAAGGATCCTCCCCGATGTAAGAAAGAATAGTAACCAAAAGCTTCACGCTTTTTCCAGTCCATTTCATGCGTTGCCAGGGTGACCCATCCTCACCCTTGCCCGCTTCGTTGTGCTCGAGTTTGCATTGTTCAGCATTATTTGACACATCATCCTCGATAACAATGCTTTCCCGACTCTCGTTTTCAGCTAAACCAAAAGCAGGAGGAAGTTGAGACTTACATGGCTTTTGTTTGATTTGAAGCCATACCGGTTCTTGTAGATCTAGACAACCGTATGCTGATGATTTTCCTTTCATTGTTGTCAAGCGGATATGCGTTTAATTCGTTGGATCAGATCCTAAAACATAAGCTCTACTTGGTTAGTATATCGATACCATGGGGGCACAGTTAAAGAGTTCAGAAGACACAATTTAGCACCAAGCTGAAGAGTCACATGGAATGAGTTTCGTTCCCTGGATGACATTTTCTACAATTAGATCTCTCAGTAAATACTTAAGCAATACCTTGTACAGCTAAAATCGATCTAATTTCTTAGAAAGATCGGAACAAACAACACGATTTCATGAAAGTAGATCCAAATTATAGCCAACCATAGATCTGTTTCCATTAATGAATTCAAACAGAAATTTATTGAAGTGAAAGTAAATGCATGATCAGAGATCTAATAAAGAAACTCAAATAGCCATATGGGACTTATCTGCTGCTGGATGGAGCAGAAAACCATTACCTCCATCAGACAATTTGATCCCTCTTCACCATCTGCAATGTGGAAGCAGCATCGATATATATAACTCAAAGGGCACTAGGTGCACAACCTGTGAATGCTTGGGAATTAGTGAAAACCAACGATAAAAATGAAACGCTCGAAAGGTAACGCTGGCACATGTAACTTCGGTTTTAACCTGAGCACGATATCTAGGTGCCACTTGTCAGTTCATTAATGCTTACGACAGAGCATGGAAAGCATAGTTCAGCGCAGGATATGTTCAGAATCTATAACAATAAGCCTGAATTGATGAAATAAAATAGCATAATGCATCATTTAGGAAAACATACAGCTATACAGACAATGTTGAAAAAACATAGCAAAATTTATAAGCCAGCAAGTTTTTCATTACATTAAACTTAAAATAGGAGTCCAAGATGTAACCCGGATCAGAACATGTACTCGGTTTTAGACACTGCTCATTTTCTTGTTCCTAATTGGGATGCTAAACGCTCATTTACATGCTTCATGCATTCATTTTCCAACCTCATCTTATCCAAATCCCTATCCTTGTTCCAATTAATACTTCTCCACTTAAACTGATGCTTCTCCAGTGCAAGCTTTTGGGCCTGATTTGTATCTTCTGCCTTTTCAACTCGAGTAATCGAAATGCCATCCACTGCTCTTGCAACGCATATGAGTTGTTGTAGTTTGGGTAAACATGACTCAGATGAAGTTGATCATTTCGTTTAGAAGCTTCCGACTTTTTGCCATACTCCACAGCTTTCGAAGGATTGCCAACACCCCCGTCTTTCATTTTGTTCATTCATTTACTCCTCATTGAAGATGGCTCCGGAAACCTGGAAGTTCCCTTATTATCTTCTATTCCCTCAAATCCACCATCAGGTGCAGCACCTTGATGTTCTTTCTCAAACTCATCGTCCCCATTGTGTTGCCTCGACTGATTAGGCTCATCGTCTTCTTTGCTTCCAAGAATCAACTGCAAGGAGTGCTGCAACTTCGGATCATGAGGAAGATGCTATCTGTTCCCAGTATGGTATGAGCACATTTCCTCGTAAAACAGATTCTTCAACCTCAAAATTTTCTTCACCTCCTCCTTTACCTTATTAGATACATTCATCAAGTCCAAAAGCTCCGGGTTCTCAACAACATCACAACAGATGCCTTTGCCAAGAACATCATTGAGTCTCCTGTATCTTTTATTTAAATCATTGAACTTGTCCTCGCATTGCTGCGGCGATGCACGATGACCCCTTTCGACCATGAGTTTCGAAACACATTTCCACTTCCCTATCTTATGCACGACCGACGATATCCTTCTAACGCCACCCGGACAATCAGAAGAAGCATCCTCATCAACATAACAAACACCATTAATCAAAAGCCTAACCATTAGTGGTGTCCATTTCACTCGCTGCCACAAGAACTCGCCTCTCCCCTCGGAGCCATCACCACCTTGTTCATCGAAATTGTTCCAATTATCATCACTCGGTTTTTCGATTTCTTTCGATTTCTCAGACCCGAAGGGCAAAACATCTTGAAATTGGGAACCTTGCTGGTAAAAATTAAAATTGTAGGTGGTGTAACCCTTGATGAACCTGCAATGAGCCTAGTGAGTCCACATATGCAAATGACCGAGTCTGACCACCTGGAATCAGATTATTATCTGATGTTGGATTTCCTTCCATAGTTTATCAAAAAAAGGAAATTTTCGATAGTTGTTTCAATGTAGCTTACAAGCTTCTATAGGAAAAATTGACACTTTTGGAAATGGAGAAGCATAGAAGGCAATGCCTGCTAACAATGGTAGGCGAATTCAAGCAAAATCTTTGAGCGGATCCAAAATTAAAAAGAAATCCAGCACAAGGGTTCATAAAATCCCAAACAAATAAACACCCAAATTGCATGCTACATTGCGAAAATCGAATCGTTCACTGAAGCTAACGTACACAGTTTTGGGATTTCTTTTCAAATGGAAAAGTAAGTTGTAAAGCAGTGGAAAGAGACTCATCTGGCACAAAAGCAAATACCCACTTCGTCATAAAAGGTTCTTTAACAAATAAAGTTAAAATGTCATCTTTTTGGCTCTGAAGCTCTCTTCTTTTCATGCGATACGACATTTATTAAACTCAAAACGAGAATTTGGCATGGCTGAGTCAGATCCGACCTGGTTATACATACTGAAATATAGATGTTAAGAAATATATGAAAGTTTAAAATATTCAACATCCCTGGCGGCCAATACGATTCATGTTTGGATTTGGGTTCTTGTACAATCCCTTCAATGCTTAAAGTGGAATTTTCTCTCCTGTCCTTTAATATTAAATTTAGTTAATCGATCAAATATCGAATAATGGTAAGACATATTGTTAATTTTATTAACAGATATAATCACGAAATTCCAAACACAATTTTCTTCGATTGTCCTTAATTTTCTTTTTCTTTTTTTTATAGAATAATTAATTTTATTTAAAATAAAATAATATCTCAAAATACAATAAATATTTATAATCACAATAGTAAATTAAGCATATAATTAGAAAAAGTTTCTATAATCATTTAAACAAAACTAACAACTTAAAATCTCCTAAGAACTATATGAGGAAATATTATAAATCTAACCAAACTCGAATAAAGATAGATACAAACAGATCTGATCGTATCATTAAACGAATCACAAATAGGATCAAGTTATTGAGAGATCACCGACGAACCGCAAATTATATTCGAGCAACGTGAAAAAACTATTCACAAACGTAAATCTAAGTATCCAAATCCAATATGAGGGTCTAAAGTAGGGAAGATCAACAAGATAACATATAAGCGTCATCTTAATCAGTCGTGACGATGTCAAATCAATACTTAAAAATATAAATGAAAAAAAGGTAAACGACCGAAAACATGTTAAAAGATAAAAAAAAATATGCCATAAAAATAGATGAAAGTGTGTCATGCAGGCATACTTATTAAAAGTAAGAAAAAAAAATAGAGATATAATATAAGAAAAAATAATAAAAAATATCAACGGTCAATGATCAAATTAAAATTAACGTAATTGTAGATCAATAAAAACAAAAAAAATAACGATATACCAACCGGAGAAAATTAAGTTTTTATTTTTTTTGAAGGAGAGAATTATTACAACTTACTTTTTGTCTAATTAATTAATGTGCATTTGGCATAATATTAGTATATTAGTGTTATTGGATCCCCTATGAAGCTATTCCAGCCTTAGCACTGGACAATAGTTCTTAACTATAGTTAGGGGTGTTTAAAATACGAATAAAAAAATTGAGTAATTTTTTATAAAACTACATGACTTGACATTTTTCGATTAGGTTCGGATCACAAAATTATTTTTTTGAGTATCCGGTTACCCAAATATCTGGTTAAATTTATTTATTTATTATATATTATAATATTACATCTTAATTATAATTTTTATATTAAATTAAATTAATAAAAATAAAAACCACCCATCCAAGAGTTGTATGTTTAATAATTAATATAATATTTTTTAATAATATAAGTTTTATTTTTAAAAAAAATTAACAATTTGGAAACAATAAAAATCAGATACCTGATTACCTGAATTACTGGTATGCGTAATATCCGGGTCGAGACAGTGCTGAAACATCAAATACCTGAAGACCCAAATACCTGAAACTTCATATACTTGATAGGTACCCAAATTTAAACAACCCTATTTATAGTTAATTAGAATAGTTTTTTTCCACCTTTTTTAACCAAAAAAAAAAATTATTAGTACATATAACTACAGAATTATAAACATGAGCGATGAATTCAACGTAAAAGGTTAAAAATTATATTGGATTTAATAATATCATATGTCCTCCCAGTATGATCTTCATTTTATACTAGTCCCTAAACTTTTAAATATTTCAATTTCATTTTTAAACTATGACTATCATTCTAAATTAGTTATTAAACTTTTGAACATTTCAATATCATCCCCAAAATATGACATTCATTCTAAATTGATCCCTAAACTTTTTGAATATTTCACATATATACTAATCACATCCCTTATTAATAAAATCATTAGGCCAAGTTATATTATTATATGTGTGAAACACAAAAATTAGGTTAAACTATGGTTGAAACTAATTACATGTTTAGATGAAATTGGAATATTCAAAAGTTTGGGAACTAATTTAGAAAGAGGGTTATAGTTTAGGGATGAAATTAGAATGTTCAAAATTTTAAGGATTAATTTAAAATGTGAGTCAAGGTTTAGGGATGAAATTAAAATATTCAAAAGTTTAAAAACTAATTTAAATGAAAGTTATAGTTTAGAGACATATTATGCAATTAAAAACATTATATTTATGTAAAATCCCAAATATCATTATTATTTAGGCTGGGAGTATTCAGAACAGATAAATTTTATAATCACATTAGTTTAATAAAAATAATTATCGAATAATTAAATATTGAGCATTGATAAGGTAAGTAATTGAAATTAGTAAGAGATATAATTACGAATCTCCGACCAATGGAATCAATGTAGAAGATTAAATAAAATATTACTAAAACATTGTATTAATGTAAAATCCCAAATACCATTCCTTTTTTCTAAGGAAAATTATTAACATCGTATGGAATCACATGTTAAAGTGACTTATGGCCTGCAAGTTTATGCATTTGTTTTCTTTATCTTAATTTGCAGCAGCGTAGAGTGCTTTAATCTCTTCAACATCATCATAGCTGCCAAGGAAGACAGGAGATCGCTCATGTATCTTCCCCGGAACTAAATCAAGTGCCTGCAAATGCATGCAAAATCAACAACATATGAGGATTCCGTTGGCTTGTGAGTCGAACCGGCGCTCGACGAGTCAAAGGGTAAGGAACACGAGTTTTCTCGATCAAAAATGATTGAGGGAAGCAGATGCTGTCATATTACCCTTTGTTTTCCGTGAAAGCCTGACCTCCAGCCTGCTCCATCAGATATGACATTGGGAAGACTTCGTAAAGAAGACTGTATAGGAAGTTTGATTTATTGTTATCAAATGTTAGTGAGGGGATCAACCAAAATTGCAATGAAGAAATGAAGCTTTTGAGGCGATGTTGTACCGAAGCTTTCCGTTTGGACTTTTCTTATCTGCAGGGTACAAGAAGATACCGCCATAAAGCAGTGTCCGGTGAACATCTGCAACCATGCTGCAAAGGCAAATGCCATTAGTGTAATCTCAGGTTGAGTATAAAATGCATCACGTATCCGGATATAGGTCAAAATACTCAGGTCCGGTGCTCATGCTTCGAGTCCGAGTAACATAGCGAGCCTCATGGTAAATTTACCTTCCAATGTATCTAAGGGACCTTGGGGGTGAACCATCTGCAGGGAACTTGCAATTTTCCACAAACTTTGTAGTTGGCTCATCCCAATTCATGGCATTTCCTTCATTTACTGAATAAATCTTTCCCCTTTTCGGTATCTTGATATTAGGATGGGTTAGTATGAACTCGCCAAGAGACGGATCGAGTGTGAAACCATTGACGCCACTCCCGGTACTCAGCACTAGCTGCAAATCAAAAGCAAAGAACCTTTCTTTGTGTTCCAATTATCAAAACAAAATCAGTCTAAGTTGCTGTAAATGCTGATAGCGGTGCTTGTTTTTACCGTGCAGGAGCTTCCGTACATGCAATAACCGGCTGCTAAGAGGTTTTTTCCGGGTTGCAAAACATCATCGATCGTCGGATTGTCTTTATCTTTCACCAGATAAATCCCAAAAATCTGATCACAAGAGGTAAACATGCATGTTCACTATGCATAAACCAGTTTAGAGCAAAGGGCAAGCTAGCAAAGAGCAAGCTTACAGTTCCTATGGAAACACCACAGTCAATGTTTGAGGATCCATCCAATGGATCAAAAACAACAATGTATCTGCATAAACAAGCACCAAAATTTAGCCTAGAGTTCGTAACCGATACTCGACCACAATGATTAGGCATATCGGTGTCGGATTCTGCAAGTATCAAACCTTCCACGCTTCGATTGATCGACGAATATCGCCTCTTCGTCCTCCTCCGAAACCAGGATGCACTACACAAGATCACACATAAGATTATGCACTAATTTTCATTCAATCAAAGAGGTTAACAGACAGGTTTTAGGCTTACTGTTTGTCCACTGCTAATCAAAGCCTTAACAAAAACTTCATTCGAAAGCACGTCCAGCTTCTTCTGTTCTTCACCCTAAAACATTTGGGGGGGGATCTCAATTCATACAACAGAAGATCGATCGATAATGGAAGCCATTAACGATGAAGTTCATACCTGAACATTGGTCTCTCCTGCAAGTCCTAATAGTTTTGCAAGACCCGCCTGTACACACAGAACAATGATTTTGCCAGTGAAATTTGGTATCAGAACTACAAAAATAACAGATGATCACCATTAAAAAGTGCAAAAGGACCTTGCTAACAGAAGAGCAGACGAATTTGCAGCCAAGAACAATGTGATTGAGCAAGATGGTGAAATCGCCACGAGATTCAGGGTACTTGGTTTGCTCATTCAAGACATGGCGAGTGATGGTCATCAAATCAGTTCTATGAGCATCAGCTTCATGATCCATGGCAAACCCGTTTTCCCTCAACACAAAGCTCAAACCCTTTTCCCTCAAAATTCGATCAAAGCTTTCTTTTTGGGATCAAATGAAATTAAAAAAATAAAAGGATGAAGCTTGGATAACAAAGAACCCTTCTTCTTCTTTTGGATAATTAGAGAACCCTTCTTTTTGGAGAGAAGTGGGAGAATAAAGATATACACGTGTGTGTACATATAAAATCAAATCAACGACATATTGGATTTTGATTGGTTAATGAAGGATCAGAACGACACGTTTGAGCTATTTGATCACATGGCTGTGAGTCATCAATAATCAAAAGTCAGCTCTTGTTATTTTCACGGCCTATGCTGTTTCTAACGTTACAGGTCCTTGGCTTTTGACGGTGTAGGGTTTGAGAAATGAATAAGGGAGAGGATAAGTCAGTTAAAATCAGCTAAATAATTCACTCTGTTAAATTGATTTTGGTTAATTCGAATTTTGTTATTAAACTAAATATAATTTTAATAATTTAGTTTTACAGCTCAATTTTGGTTAAACAAATCAATATTTTCTAGGGTAAAGTATAGTAATGGTCACTGAACTTTTTTATAGCTTTCATTTAGGTCCTCCAACTTTTAAAACTTGCAATACATCTCTCCAACATTTATTCCGTTTGCAATATGGTCCCCGACGTTACACTGCCGTTATTATGTTTGCAATATGGTCACTGAACTTTTCAGGCGCTTGCATTTAGGTCCCCCAACTTTTAAAACTTGCAACACAGCCTTCAATTTCATTCTAAACACCAAATTCCTTTCGATATCGAATTTTCTTTAGAAAATAAACATGAAAATTTTATCTTAAATATTGCTATATCATAGTCTTATAAAATCAAAGCTTATAGATATAACCTACAAACTTATTATAAGAGAAATAAAAGAGAGAATAAACATTAGAAATTCAGATACTAAATAAAAAACCATGAAATTCCTTCCAAATAAAGTCAATAAGTTAATGAATAAAATAACAATTTCATCATGATAATCCCTAATAATTAATTAAGGATTATAGATCTTTATATTTAATGCGTACATGTTTATATTTGACTTGCACGTTTATGTATATGAACCTCATAAAATAGTATAGAATAAATGTATACTGTTGAATTTTATAAGCTAAACGTCCAGATTGCTTTTGTGTGCATGTTACAAGTTTCTTTATTCGCGATAGGTTATCAACATTAATGGAAGAGTCTCGATGAATCATTCGAGTACGATAAATGATTACTTAAGTGGGCATATAAATATTGAAATATTTTAGTTAAGTTTGTAAATTTATTTGTATATTTGTTTTCTTTCAAAAATAAAGGAGCATCGTTTTTTGTATAAACAATTTTTTAACTTGAAAAATTTATGGATGTTTAACATATTTCATCATATTTCATTCAACGGGTTAGTGTCTGGTTCAAACGACCATTACTTTTTTAATATAAAGAGACAAGTTTAAACATATGAATAATAATGTGATCATTATGTAACTTTTAATAGTCGGAGACTTGATAAAACAAAACTCTTAAGATATCATTTTGTAACTTTTAATAGTTAGTGAGACTTTATAAAATAATATCATGTAATTAAAGGTCATTTATATATTTTAAGCATTTTTTAATTGACTTGTAAACTAGAAGTATTTTATATAAACAAACACAATAAAATAAGTAAATGCACCTTGAATAGATCTATCTCCTATGATTAAATAACTTTTATAAAGGAAATTTGAGATCGAAAAGGAATTTGGGGTTTAGAATGAAATTGAGAATTGTGTTGCAAGTTTTAAAAGTTGGGGGACTTAAATGCAAGTGCCTGAAAAGTTTAGTGACCATATTACAAACATACTAACGATAGTGTAACGTCGGGAACCATATTGCAAACGGAATAAATGTTGGAGAACTGTATTGCAAGTTTTAAAAGTTGGAGGACTTAAATGAAAAGTTTAGAAAAATTTAGTGACCATTACTATACTTTACCCTATTTTCTAATTATATTACAACTCAATTTTGGTTAGACTTACTCTTATTTTGATAACTCGTATATTAAATCATAAATGAAAAGGTATAATGATTGTCATGTGTACTGATGTAAATCTTTTTTATTGATATAACATTTATACGTCATTAAGTCATTTTTCTTTTATTTTATCTTCTTCTTTCAAATATTAAAATTTTATAATTTTATTATTGTCTCACATTGAGACTCCAATTATTATTTTTGATGTTTTCTCATATTACTCAAAATATTGATGATTTCACATCATTATGTCCTACCATTATATCAATTTTAAATTTTGCATAAAACACTTTAAAACTTAACCAAAATTCAAATCTTTTGAAATTCTAAACCATTCAGATATATAATATCCACTATTTGATCATCATGGAAACAAGATATAGAATTTGATTCCTTCTTTTCGGCCTTCATTTAGGATTTGAAAGAAGATACTTCGTCATCGAAAAATAAAATGAAATTAGAAACCAAGGATTTTTCATAAAAAAAAAGTTTTGGGACCATCTCATAATTTTTAAAAAAAAAATATTCAGTCATAACGCCGTCAAAATATTTAATGGCGAAGTGATCAAAATAAAAATAAATCGAAAGTGCAGTGAGTAAACTGAAAAATATAATTCTTAGTTACCAAGTTAAGAGAGAAGAATGATGAACTTTGTAGTTTACCCTATTTTGACATGTATTGGTAATTTAGCCCCGTCCACGTTCTAGTCCTATCTGCGTGGCCTTTTGATCTTTGGAGACCTTGAACACTGTTTACAACTTGGCTAAACCTTCCATCAGTTCAAATCGGCGGCTCCTCTTAGCAATCGAGCACCGATACATCAGACCAGCAGCTCAAAATGCTATAAATTCATAACGAGAGAGAACCAAGACAAGGTCAAGTAAGCAAGCAGCAATGGTTATCTCTCTTCAACTTGGACTCACCCTTTCTTTAGCAATCAATAGTTTGATCCAAAAACCATAACTTTCTCCCCTCTCGATCGTGTTTTCATGGGAACAACAGAGCTTACCCAAGCACTCCTCAAAAACACCAAAAACCCAAAGCTAGCATGGCAACTCTTCAAGCGGATTCAATCGTCACAGCCCAATCCCTCTGTTCTTTCATCAGTACCCACCATTGCCCGTATACTTATCCGTTCCAAAATGCTCCTAGAAATCGATCAACTTCACCTCCTCCTCTTATCCTCACAGTCCCAACAAAATCCCCTCCGCTCCCTCATTTCCATTGTCAATCTCTTAGCTAAATCGGGTTTCTTTGATAAAGCCTTTTCCCAGTTCCAGTCCATCAGAACAAACTTCCCTCAAAACCCGCCTTCCATTTGTTCGTACAATGTTCTCTTTGGATGTTGTATTAAAGAAAGACGCTCCGATTGTGTGCTTTGGTTGTATAAAGATATGGTCGTTGCCGGTGTTTCTCCACAGACTTATACTTTCAATCTTTTGATTTTTGGGTTGTGTGATTTGGGTCATTTGGATGTCGCCCGAGAATTGTTTGACAAAATGCCTGAGAAAGGTTGCCTGCCTAATGAGTTTAGTTTTGGCATTTTGGTTCGGGGTATTGCAGATTCGGCCTTGTTTATAAAGGAGTGGAGCTTTTGGATGAGATGAAAGGTCTAGGATTTTGCCAAATAGAGTTGTGTATAATACATTGATTTCGAGTTATTGTAAGGAAGGTAAAACTGATGATGCTGAGAAATTAGTAGAAAGAATGAGAGAGGATGGTTTGTTTCCTGATGTAGTTACATTCAATGCTAGAATATCCGCTCTTTGTAAAGCGGGTCAAGTTCTCGAAGCATCAAGGATTTTTAGAGATATGCAAATAGATGAAGCATTGGGACTACCTCGGCCTAATGTTATAACCTATAATCTGATGCTTGAGGGGTTCTGTAAGCAAGGGATGCTGGTGGAAGCAAAGAACTTGGTTGAGTCAATGGAGAAAAATGGTGATTTGATGAACTTGGAGAGTTATAATATTTGGTTGTTGGGGTTGCTAAGAAATGGAAAGTTGGTAGAGGCTCAACTGGTACTTAAAGACATGGTAAATAAAGGTGTAGAACCTAATATTTACTCGTACAACATTGTGATGGATGGTCTTTGCAAGAATGGGATGCTTTCTGACGCAAGAATGGTGATGAGTTTTATCATAAGGAATGGTCTTTCTCCTGATACAATAACTTACAGCACTTTACTACATGGCTACTGTTGTAAAGGGAAGTTATCCAAAGCAACTGATATTCTAAATGAGATGATGAGAAATGGTTGTATCCCTAATACTTATACTTGCAATATTTTGCTGCATAGCTTGTGGAAAGAGGGGAAGATATTAGAGGCGGAAGAGTTATTGCGAAAGATGAATGAAAAAGGTTATGGTGTGGATATTGTGACCTGCAATATTGTAATTGATGGTTTGTGTAAAAGTAGGAAGTTGGAAAAAGCTATGGAAATCGCCGATGAGATGTGGACACATGGAAGTGCTGCTCTAGGTAACCTTGGAAACTCATTTATTGGCCTAGTTGATGATGTTAGCCGTAGCATGAAATGTACTCCTGACTTAGTTACGTATTCTATCATAATTAGTGCTCTATGCAAGGCTGGAAGGATAGATGAGGCTAAAAAGAAATTCAAAGAGATGATGGGTAAAAACTTGCAACCCGATGTGGTTATTTTTGATACCTTCATCCATATTTTCTGTAAAGTAGGAAAGATCTCTTCTGCATTTCGAGTTCTCAAAGACATGGAGAAAAAAGGGTGTAATAAGAGCATACAGACTTATAATTCACTGATACTTGGCCTCGGAAGTAAAAGTCAAATATTTGAGATATGGACTAGTCGATGAGATGAGAGAAAGAGGGATTACTCCTAATGTTTGCACCTATAATAATATTATTCGATCTCTTTGCAAAAATGGGAAAATCCAGGACACTTCGTCTATCTTGGATGATATGCTGCAGATGGGTATAAACCCTAATATTTCTTCCTTCAGGATGCTAATAGAAGCTTTCTGCAAGGCATGTGATTTGGAGCAGCGAATGAGTTATTCGAGATTGCTTTAAGTATATGTGGCCAGAAGGAAGCCTTATATAGTTTAATGTTCAATGAGTTGCTTGCCGGAGGGCAAGTGTCAGAAGCTAAAGTGGTCTTTGAAGCTGCGTTAGATAGATCTTTTCATCTGGGCAATTTCCTTTATAAGGATCTTATTGAAAGCTTTGTAAAGATGGGAAGTTAGAGGAAGCTAGTGGTATTTTGCACAAGTTGATTATCAAAGGATACAGATTTGATCCTGCATCATTCATGCCAGTGATTGATGACTTGGGTAAACGAGGAAACAAGCACGAGGCTGATGAACTTGCAGAGAAGATGTTGGAGATGGCTTCAGATGGTAGAGTGGAAAACAAGATATCTCGAAAAGCAAAGGAATCAATCCACAGAAAAGGAACAAAGTATGGTGGAGATGACTGGCAAACTATAGTGCACAAGTATGGCTAAAATATTAGTTCTGTTTTTCTGGATTTTTTCTTCTTTGGCTTTGTTGATCTTTGGAATGTTTAGTGCTACATGGTAATTGTCAAATATAGATGGTTAACTATAGCCTTTCCTTGAAAAAGAAAAAAGTATAACAAATAATTATATGTATTAAAATCACATTTATTATATAATAGTTTTTAGTCCTATGCATCCATAAAGATATTTGCTTTCGTAGTTTTTACCACACACCTTCATGTATTTTAGTATCGGAACATTCAGCTGCCAATAAAGCCTTTGTTGTCCATGGTATTATTTGTTTTCTTTTATCAGTGCAGTTGATTGTCCTTTGTATATTGTTTCGTGTAACTGACATGTTTTCGATTTAATATTCTTTCACAGGGATGACGGAAGTGAAATCGCTTTGAAATCCCTTAAGCGGTACAGAAAGGTTGGGGTCAAGGAAGTATACCGAGTTTGCAGTCCCAGAAAAGTAAGCTTCTTGATTACTGGTGAAGTTGGTGGTTATGTTCCCATTTCTCTAAAGATATGTGTGGAAGCTACTGATGATTAACCAAGGATTAATTGCCATTCATGGAGGATTTCCTATGACGTGCACTTGTGAAAAATATTCATTTTAATTTTGTAAGCTTTGAAAGTCATGGATGAAGGCAAATGATGCGGAGTAAGTTGTGGTGTGCTTATTGATTTCAGTAAATTGTCTGCGCTTGTGAAGCAACTGCCTAATTGCACCTTGTTTCCGTATTTCTGCAGACGGATAGCAAACTAGTCGGTCAGCAAGCTGGTTTAGATTTTCTCCGTAGAGTAAAAAGGGTTGCGCAACACAACTTGGGCCAAAAGCTAAACCTTGCGTGCGGCAGTCTCACTACCGAATGGTGGTCTCACCGTTTCACCAAGTTTATAAGGCCATCATGAAAACTCATGTCCAAAATCAAGCTTTTAGTTAGTTCACACAATGGAAAACATTTACAGAGCATTCAACATGGAACTATGTCGGAACATTTACAGAATCTTGTCTCGGGTGGCAGCGATGTAGTGGAATGCAGTCTGGGAGGGTGAAGTGTGATTGTCATGTAAGCATTGCATCGAGTGAGAGGAACATGCGCGATGTTTTCTCGAGCAGGTCAGCTTTGTTGAGTATTCGAAGGAAATTGTTTTTCTCAGAGGTTTGATGGGGTGGCTCTACTTCTAAACAGCCTTGTTCTTAGTGTTGCAGCTCTGCTGTGTGTTCTGTTTTGAGTAAACCCTGTCTTTACACTTTTGAGTTAAATTAAAGACATTCAGATTTGAATATTTGCTGGACTTCACAGAACCAATAAGCATTTCGTTGACAACCTGAATGATTACAAGACCTTGACAATGCAGCAGAATGCTGCCTTAACAAAACAAAGTTGCAAATCACAGGAACATGCATTATTCATCCGTGGAAGAAAATAAGAAAGACAGACTCCAATCCTACACCCTTAGACAGATAAGCTGTCTACCTCACTCAGATTCTATGGAAGTCCTCGTCCTCCTCTTTGGAATAAAGGGTGACCAAAGCATCCATCCTCGACCGAGCGAAACGCCTCCACCCAGACCCGCTGATGCAGTACACGTCGACTTTCATTCTTGCGTTCAAACTCCCACCAGCCGGACCTGTCCGTGACCGTAAAAACTTAAAACGATTCGACCACTGGGGAGTGTGGTTACGATCACGAAAACTCCACCTTGCTTCATGGTGTGCTGCTAGGTTAACTTCCAATGCTGCCATGTCTTCAACTCCGCAAATACAACTCTGGTTTTGTCCCTTAAACTGAGAAATCAGATGACTGTAATGTGACTGCATTTTTCAAACATCCCATTCTGCATTTTATAGCAGAACAAGGTCTGCTTAATCGAGCGAAGAACGAAGAAACATGTATATATACATGTATGTATATGGTTTGAAAATGGATATCGTCTCGAGGGAAGGTTAAAGAGTTCCTGACATGGTTCCTGGTCGAATGTTTTCGAGCGTTGTTCCTGCACACGGTGTAAAGTTTAGAAATTTGTTGGTTTTGGTCATCGCGAGAACTAAAATGGGAATGCTCTGTTTAATGGATAAATTTGGTCTCAGGTCAAACAGCGAGTTTCAAGATTTTGGATGTTGGGGGGAGAAAACTATTCGACATCGTTCCGACTCCATGCTCTGTTTTAAGATTTTGAATGTTTCTAATTTGTTTGTTTTTGGTGTTTGCGAGAAGTAACTCATCATTTTGTTATAATAAATATTGCGCGGCTTTTTCTCTCTACAAAAGTACTAATTATACCCTTTAACCCAAAATCAAACGAAAAGAAAACTTAGGGACTAACTTAAGAAATATTACAAAGATCAGGGACCTAACACATCTTTATCCCAAAATCAAATTACCATCACTCTCTTAAAAAAAAAAAGCAAATTACCATCACGGCTAAAATGGTCGGCGAGCGTGCTGGTTTGAAATTTCCTCTGTTGCGCAACAAAAGTTGGACCACAAGCTAAAATTTGAGTGCGGCAAGTGTCGCAAATGAGTCGAGTTTAGATCGAGTATTATAGGGGCAGAGATTTAAAGAGACTCCGAACTTCGTAAATTTTTTTATGTTCGATAGATTAAAATTTTAGTTCACTTATAAATAAGTACTCGAATTAAAAAATATAAGAATTTATTAAATATTTAATCAAATAGGGGTCGAACTAAAGAAATATAATCTAATGTTCTCAATTTTTTGGTCTAATAACAATTTAGGTATTTTAAGTTTAAATATTAGATAGATTAGATATTGTCTTCTAAATTTAAGTTTAAATACCTATTAAGCTATTATTTTTCTTAAGTTCCTGTATAAAATTGAGAATTAGTTGCTCAAGATATGCAGTTATATTTCAGTCTTCTGAGTTCCTAGTTTGAAGAAATCGGTGAAAGTTAATCTCACAACACACCATAAAGCAAGGTGGAGGTTCCTTGATCGTAGCCATACACTCTCTGGTGGTCGAAACTTTTTAAAGGTCACCGAGAGGTTCGATTGGTGGAAGTATGAACGCAAGAATGAAGGAAACAATATGTACTGCATCAGCGGCTCTGAGTGGCAGAATTTCGTTCGACCGAGGATGAACACTATGTTCACCCTTTATTCGAGAGACGACGATGACGACTTCCACAGAATTCGAGTGAGCAGATAGCTTTATGAATGTCTAGGCATTAATGTCCGATCTCTTATTTGTGTAATGGTGGAGCATTGAAGTATGTTTCTGGTTTGCATCTTTGTTCATCAGGGAGCAATATTTCTTTTGCTGCTTCATTGTTAAGGTCTTGTAATCGTGAAGTTATAATGAACATTGATTCAATGTATGTGATTGTATAATGTTGTTATGTTTATGATTAGAGTTAATTTCACTATATAGCCTCAAACTACGACTCATTCTAGATTAGCCCTCAAACTTTGAGTATTTTATTTCCATTTCAAAACTATGACTCTCATCCTAAATTAGTCCCAAAGTTTTGAACAATCTGAATCTATCCTAATTCTATATTGATCCCCAAACTTTTAAATGTTCTACTTTTATTTATAAACTTTTGAATGATTTTTTTTGGGGGGGGGGGAGTTATTGAAATGTTCAAAAGTTTGGAGATTAATTTAGAATGAGGTCATAGTTTAATGTTTAAGAGTTTAAGGATCAATTTAAAATGAGGATCATAGTTAGAGGATGCATAGTACAATTTACTCTTATAAGTATTATAATAATAATAAATAAAATTTAAATCGAATCAAAATTTTATATATACAATTATATAGAATTAAAGTTTGTGTATACAATTATGTAATTAATAAAAGTTCATGTATAGTTTTAAGGATCATCTTTAGAAAGATACCGAGTTGAGAAAAAATGACAATTTTAAGGACTAGATATGTACTTAAGCCAAAATCAAAGTTAAAGAGCGAGCATAGCGTTGGCACGTGGTCGCAAACCTACCATTAAATGTGTGATTTCTTTGGTTAAAAAAAAGAAAAACTATGTAATTGTACGTCAACCAACAACAACAACAACAACAAAACCCAATTCCCATATGTATGGGGTAAGGGGGAGGTAGGTAGTAGGCTGCCCCCAACGCCAGGTTGAGAATAGCTTCCGTGAAAGACCTCCGGCAGTCAGAAAATTAAAAATATAGATAAAATGCAATGCATGTATAAATAATTACATAAATACATAGCTAAACAATATTCATAAGCAGTAATTAATATCATATGTGCTTCTGTAATGGGGAGTAATCCCTACAAAATAATCCCTGCGAAAGAATCTCTGCATATAGACAGAAACCTAAGACTCGGCTAAATTTAACAGAGGAAACATGATGAGAATGATACACATGAGACAACGATAGCAAGCCCAGTTCTAATCTTTCATAAATACCAATAACAGAAAAGTATAAAAAGTAAAGTCATGGAAATTACTACAAATGCATTTAAAGAAGACAAAGATGATACACCCTATAGATGTGACCCACTACTCGATACCCTAGTCTTAAGCCTCCATAATTCCTATCATAGGTCATGTCTTCGGTAAGGCCTAAATCCATCAAATCAGATCTCAAGCAGTCATCCCACTTCCGCCTTGGTCGTCATTTCCTTCTGGCACCGTCGACTGTAATCGACTCTACCCTCCTGACCGCATCCGACGGTAGTCGCCTAAGGACGTGCCCAAACCACCGTAGTCTTCCCTCCCTCATTTTTTCGGAAACAGACACCACCTAAGGACATCCTAATAGCAGAGTTTGTCGTCATATCCCACAGAGTCCTACCACATGTCCATCAAAGCATTCTCATTTCTGCGGCTCTATCCTCCTTACGTGATCCTTCTTGGGTGCCCAACATTCTGATCCATACAACAGCGCTGGTCTTATTGCCATTCTATAAAATTTTCCCTTAAGTTTTAGAGGCACCTTCTTGTCACACAAAACTCCAGTAGCGGCCCTCCACTTTAGCCATCCCGCCTTTATACGGTGTGTAACGTCATCATCTACACCCCCATCTTTATGTATCATAGACCCTAAGTACTTGAAACAATCCTTTGAGGGAAGAACGTGTCCTTCTATGCATACTTCTACATCTTCATCATTTTGGTTCCCACTGAAGTTTGAACATAAATACTCTGTCTTTTCAATATTGATCCTTAAACCTTTTCTTCCAAAGCAGTCTTCCAGGTAGCCAGTCTGCTATTCAACTCAGATTTTGTTTCAGCCACTAAGACAATGTCGTCAGCGAAAAGCATACACCAAGGTACACGTCTGGTGTCGCACAATAGATGTCGTCCATAATCAAGGCGAAGCTGTAAGGGCTAAGAGCCGACCCCTGGTGGAGTCCGATTTCCACCGGGAATGCCTCGGTGTCGCCAACTGTAGTCCTGACGTAAGTAGTAGATCTACAGTACATATCACGAATCGCGGATATAAGCAGTTGGTATCGTCTCGTTTCCAAAGTCTTCCAGATCGTATCGCGAGGAACGCTATCATAAGCCTTCTCAAGGTCAATGAACGCCATGTGAAGATCTCTAGACTTTTCCCTATATTTCTCCATAAGCCGTCGAAGTAGATGAATCGCCTCCGTGGTAGACCTGTTTGGCATAAAGCCAAATTGGTTTTCCGAAACCCTAGTGACTTGTCTCAACCTAGCCTCTATCACCCTTTCCCATAGCTTCATGGTATGGCTGAGTAGTTTATACCTCTGTAGTTACCACAACGTTGGGGATCTCCTTTATTTTTATAAATTGGTATCACCGTAGACTCTCTCCACTCCTCTAGCATCTTGGCAGTCTCTAAAATAATATTAAAGATGTTGGTCAACCACTTAACTCCCTCATCTCCTAGGGCTAACCACACAGTGATAGGAATTTGATCAGGACCGACAGCTTTCTCCCTTCCCATCTTTCTAAGAGCCATTTTGACTTCCTCAAACCCAATCCTACTTGTAGGGCAGTCATTGGCCGTAGTATGATGGTCGGCTGACCCACAACGATATATCTCTACATGGAGAGGCACCGTCATTAAATAAGCCAAAGAAGTAACTACCCAAACCCTCTTAATATCCTGTTCTTCGTTAAAAGAACACCATTGTTGTCCTAATAAACCTAATGTTACCTAGATCCTTTTTCCTAATCTCCCTAGATTTTGCAAGTCTGAAGATGCCATTTG